AGAGAGGGGGGTGGGTGGGGTGGGGGAAGCCAGTTATAGAGGAGGGAGATAGAGACACGTTGTCCTGTTAGGCACCTGTTATTCTGCAGTATAGGAAAATCTAAAACAAACAAACAAATCAGTTGTTTTTTTAAAAGACCACCCAAAAAAAAAGAAAAGAAAAGAAAAGAAAAAAATAAAAACGATGAAATTGAATGGTTGAGTTCGGGAAAATGAAAACAACCCCAAAAAACAACCAAATTGAAAGGTGGAAATTTTCCCCTGCCCAGGTACATTAACAATAGGCCTCGCAAAAAATCAAATCATCATTTGAAAAGAAATGAAAACACGCACAATAATGATAATACTCATGTCATAGCGTTACCACACGTAATCGTAAAAATGACTAAGTGTACACTTTGAGTATCAACATCAATAACCTTTATTATAAACTGGACCTAATACGTAGAGCTCTCTACACAAGAAGCAGTTACACAGGGTATCAAAGTGAAGTACAACTCAAGAGACTTGCAAAAATGCCATTATCACGAGTGTATGCAAAAACACATTCAATTCTATAATTCCTTGTCGTTGTTCTGAGATCGCTTTTGTGCGATTTTTCACTACATGCTGTAAGTCACTCTGATGGCCAACCTTTCTTTTTTATGCAGCTGGCTTCTCTTTTTTTTTTTAGCGAGACTAAAACATTAGTTTATAGATCGCCTGAAAAGAGACAGGATCGAGGGAATGGTTATGACTTGTTAGCAGGCCAAGGAGTTGCCTTCTCTCTTGGTGGGACAGAGAACTATTTGTATCCCCTCCTCTCTCCTACCCCAGGTCTGTTTCAGCCCCATAGCCCGCAGTGGGTGAGCGACCATTGAAATGTCAATTTAAAAACTGACAAAAAAGCCTACACATATCAAGACTTAGTTCCCTTGACAAAACTTGAATTTTACCTTGTTGAACAATCTGTAACCACAGGTCACAAATGTTGGGTTTTTTTCATGGGCGGCATGATCTTATTGTAGCACCATCTAGATTCAAAATCCCTTTTACGGGAATCAAAAGGTTACAACTGATTTCTTTGGCCTTTCAAACTCTATTCCAGAGCATTGTATATATAGACAAAACTTTATAATGTCCCGTTACAACGTTTAGAAAGTATTGTATAATAACTATGCTATGGCGTGGCATAATATTATCAAGACTTAACGCTTTTTTCAACACAGACTAGAGACATTCAACGGTAAAATCTATCAGAATCTCATATGAGACTGAACCAAGTGGCTGGAAAGCCTTTAAACTCCCTAAACAACTTAAGTTCTTGAACGTCCTGCCTGGGATTCGAACCAAGGTCATCCGCAACCCTCCCCCTTCCATGATCAGCAATCTGATATTCTAGAATAAATTCTCAAACCTAAACAATGAACAATTTTTTCCAATCTTGTAAACCAGGGCTGTTCAGATAATTCAGTCAACAATCCATACTCAGGAGCGTTTCAAAAGTTCTTATATTCTGTTTTTACCGTGACTTCCTTGGCATCCCGACACTGTGCATACGCTCAGGCACACTGTCGTCTCAGATATGGTACTCTTTGATTACCACTATGTACAGGTTACAAACGTACAATATTTCATAACACAAAACTATTAACGAGTACAAAAATAACGGCTCACTGACAGTAATAATGCCGTCTCGAGTAGACAATATTGAAAATAGATGACGACGTATTGGGAAAGAACATTCTGATGCCCAACACATTTTACAACAATCATGTTGGGTACACATGTACATTTGGCTCCGGGACAAGAGCGCGTTTAAGAAAAATAAAAAGAGTTTACAGTAAAACTTACTTTTGGATCTTTCTACAAATTACGTGTTATGTTATATCCGGGTACGTGTTAGAAAACCTGTCGATAGTTACACACAAGAATGACGTTACGACCAACAGCACTACTCATTATAGTAATAAGTGACCTATTAGACTGAAGGAAAGAAACATGAGAGAGTGACTGACTGAGAGAGAGAGAGAGAGAGAGAGAGAGAGAGAGAGAGAGAGAGAGAGAGAG